ATATATATATATATATATATGTAGATATATATATATATATATGTAGATATATATACACATACATATACGGATATTGTTGACGAATGTAGTATTGTTACATAGCCACGAATATATTTCCGGTAATTGAGGCTTTATCCTTGAATCCTTGACAATACCGACATATCAGGTGTAAAAAAGATATGGAAAGGCATGTTGACAAATCGCAAGCCAGTGATAAGCTTTCCTATTCAGCAAATGATGTGATATTGTTTTACATCGATCTAAGAATTATTATTATTATGACTTGCTACAATCTATATATGTATATTTTATCATTGAATAGTTTGCGCTGTTCATCGAAATCTAAGTTGTAACTGCTAATATAACTAATATAACAAATAATAGGTACATGTTCATTTGCCTTAATCCTCCTGATATTCTCCATTTTATGAAAATATTTTCGTAATAGAAATTAATAAAAATTAAACATTGACATTTTTAAAAGTAGGCAACAGAGCTCCACAACGGTAGAATCATTGAATTTATTATAAAAAGAAGTAAATTGTCTACGATGTATAATCCTATCAAATAATAATCACGAACAATCTCAGTCTCATTTCATTCGTACAAATTATTATTTTTCCAAGATTCTTTTTCAAGAAATCCGTTATTAATGGACTTAGTTTAGAAGCCAAAATTTCGATCAATTTTCACTGGCTATTCGTTTCTATAACAAGAATGATTATTGACTATTAGCTTCCAAGTCCATGTCCGACCAAATGGCTTCAGTCTCGCTCTCCTCGGGTGCCTCATCGTTATCTGTATCCGGCAGACCATCACCGACATCATAAGTTGTATCAGCCTGTTCCTCACCAACGGTCATATAATAAGCGGAATCCAATTTACTAGAAGAATTGTCTAATCTGTGCATTCCCTCTATAGCTCTCCTGTTGTTTGGATCCAAGCTGAAGACAAAAATTAGATAAGCTTCATCTATAGATTTAATCATGATGTAAATCAACAATTACAAAAATGAAATATGTACTTTAAAGCTATCACATAATGATCTAGAGCCTTCTCTTCATTGTGCATTCTTGCCCATAAGTCTCCCAAAGTTTGATGGAGCTTACAGGTAGAGTGAATCTCCACCTGTCTCTCGAGTAGTTCGATGGCTGCTTCCAAATTCATTTCCTGTTCATATATCTCCGCGAGTAAATACACTGCAGGTAAGTAGACTTCATCTTGAGATAAAGCTTTTTCGAGAAGGTTCTTAGCTTTGCTCACTGACACAGGATCTTTCATCAAGACGGATGCATATAACTGCAAACGCAAAATGCATTGTTATATATTTTTTAATTTACGTATATTTTAGATACATTTTCTTTTAACTTTAACTCACTGTTAGAACTCTTGTAGTGTGTCCAAGTTGTTTGCAAGAGCTGCTGGCGATATTCAGAGCTTCTCGCAACCTATGCATCCCAACAAGACAATCTACTAAACCTTTATGTGGTTCATATCTATATGGTTTCAATTGCACGGCGTGTCTAAAAAAGAACAAAGCGTCCTGATACTTTTTTTGCTCGATAAGAAGATTACCCCGTAATATAGTGGCCTCTATGTCATTAGGATTCAGATTTAATGCCTGAGCAGTAAGAGTATTTGCTCTGCTGAACTTTCTAGCGGCAAACAGGGAATATGCCATTGCTACGTAAATTTCGCCGGTACATTCGTTGTTAGCAGTTATCGCTGGTATCAGCCGTTCCAATTCTTTGATATGGTGCATTTTGTATAGAACTGCAGCATACATGTCCACCCTGTAGAGAGAAGTAACAAACAATAAGCACTCCGTGTAATATATAAATAAATCTCTAAATGTGGACTTACCCTTTTGTTATATCTGGTTCAATAACGCGAGCTCGCCTTAGACACAACAGAGCATTCTTATCATCACCCGCATAATAATAACACTCGCCCATGATAGTCAATAGATTGAAATTATCCCTAAGCAAAACAACATTGTCCAATGATCTCAGAGTGCTCACGGCATGAGTGTATTCTCTATTATGAATATGTGCATGAGCCTTGATCCACGTATTAAGCCATTCCAAATTCATCGAATTCGAGATGGAGCCGACGATCAGAGAATTGACCTCCACACCCTTTACTCCTAAAGAAAGAAGACCTTCGGCTGCTTCTAAAGCCAATGGACATTCTTTCAACACTTCTTTGTATGTGGTAATAGCAGATCGTTCCATTCCTTGCTCGTGAAACATCTTGGCTAGTGCCATGTTTACTTTGGCAGTACGCTGCTTGCCAGGAATGCTCTGTAGCACTTGCAAAGCTTCTTGCAAATTCTTGGACTTGACTAGACATAAGTGAATTTGATATTTGATATTGACATCCGATGGCAGATCCTTCTGTCCATCCAATAAAGGTTTCCCTGTACCTTTGGATTTTAACAGACACTTACGGAACTGCAGAGCCTTCTTGTAGAGAGTCTCTGCTCTGCGATATTTGCTCAGATGAAAGTGAGCATCTGCGTAATAAACGTATACATGAAACTTGCTGTAACCAGGTAGCAAATCAGCATTGTGTTCGCTGAGAGAAAGCACCAAGTTCGTCAGAGAGATCACATTACAATAAAGTGCCTGATCATAAAGCAGCTTGATCTGCTCGAATAGTCCTGACATGGTTAATCTTTTTTTGAAATAAAATTTAATAGATTACTAACAGACTTCAAATTGTGCGATAATAGAATCAAAAGGAAGCGTGAGAGCGTTCTCAAAATTTCACAGACTGTAACATCACAAAAACACCAAATCTTACAAAAATCATTATTCCTATCTTCAATTAAATACTCATTTTTCTTTCTGCATTTTTAAACTGGCACTATTATATGACGTGAGCGTTCGTTTCTGTTGGAAATATTCTTTCAAAATATATTGTTTTTAAGGTTTTATGTTCCACCACGATGTAAATATAACCTGAAAACAATTCGGAGACGCTGAACGCGAAGTGCAGTGAAATGCTTGCACGATAGACCGACAGAGAACGTTGCAGTATGCTGCGCGATACTTCATACAAATACGAACCGATTACAGAGCGCTGTTTATGTTTTCCAAGAATAATTTAATTCACATCGTTTATTTTATGCAATATTTTCATATCCTAGAAACCGGATTTAAAGGATTTCCAGTAAAAACAGCTTCTATTGCTAATTTCCATAATTGCACATTATCATAATACAAAAAAATTATCAACAAATATACTGATTCGAAATTGCCTCATTCGATTTCTTTATTTTTGCAAGAATGTAAAATCCAGTACCGCTTACCACTATATTTTTGTAAAGTTAATCAATGTAGATTAACTTTAAAATCGATTTAATTTACTCGTTATCTTTTTTTAATTCTTAGAATTAGAAGAAGATAAAAAAGTAAGAGACAAACGGAGACAAATTAGGTCATGTTTCATGTATTATCATTACTGAAAATCTATAGTTTAAGTTACATATACTATAGATTTTTAATACTGGCAGTGTATATGGAATATAACAGAAGTAGTAAAATGTGATTGGTATTTAAATTTAACCAATCATATTAAATTGTAAAAGCGAGGTGAAGTTTTTGTTAAACATCTGAGCATCTGCGACTTGAACTGCAAAGTAGATAAAATTCGAATTGAGCTTCGATTGTTATAAATCAATTAAAAAGTATATTTTAAAACAAAAAAACATGCAGCAAGAAGGTAAGTTTTGTCTTTCGCTTTAATTGATCTTCGTGATTGTCGTGATTTTCATCTGAAACTTATAGAAAAAGTTCGCGCGAGCAGCACGCAAAGTAGCGGCAAGTTTATCGATGCAATGATCGCACAATGGATGAACCAAACAGGGAACAATGATAGATTACAGCAAACGGAAGAAGTACGAATACAAACAGCTCAAGAGTAATTTCTATAATGATGACTTCAATCAAACTCCAATTAACTTAATAGTAAATAGGATTCTTAATTTTTTTTATTTGACACGGAAGGAAAAATTAAATACAGACATAATGAATTATACAACTTGAAACTTTATTTTATTAAGCTTTCTTCCAATTAAATTAATTCAAGCCGCTTAAGTTGATTCAAGTTTGATCGAAGTTTGATGCTCTATAATAAGCAAGGAAAATAATTTTTCATGAATATTTTATGGAAGTAGCAGGTGAATGAAGGTTCTTGCACACATGATGACAAGCAGCAAAACCAGCAGAATAAGGACCGTACAATCCAAAGTCTAAGACGAAAACTGAAGGAGAGCCAGGAGGCGCAGGCCTCTTTGTCCGCCTCCTTGGAAACAGACATACGCAACAAGGAAGAGATCCAAACAAAATAAGTCTCATTTCTTTCTTCTTTCTTTTTTGTAACACGAACAATTGTTGTAACACGAATCTCTCTTATATATTCTACGACTTGACTTTCTTTTTTTGGCAACAGACTGAACGCAACTTGGCCGTACATCGAGAATATCACGGAATATATGAATTACATCAGAGAGAGCCTTGCCAGTTTTCAGCAACATCACGTTAGTTTATCCACCTTATACGACGACGTGATTCTAAAGCAGCAAGAAACTATCCAGAAGCTACAACAGAATGAGGCGAAATCGAAAGGTATACTTTTACATATATGGTTTGAATCTTAATTTTAGGCTCATTATCATAAACAATTAATTCTATAATTGCAGATATGGAGAACTGTGTTGCAAAATTGAAAAATGAATTGCAGCTTCAAAAAGAAAGGTATAATTTTCGTTATACTTCTGACAGTTTATCGCATAAACAAAGATTTTTATCAAAATCGTTTCTTGAATCAGATTACAAGAGGGGTCGGCAGAGCTAAATAAATTGTGGAAGCAATTGGAAAATTCTGAAAACAAGTTGCAGAATCAGAGGAATGAATTGGCGAATAAACATGCTGAGGAAAAGTTGATGCTCGTCAAAGTATGTTGTTTAAACAGTTTTTAAAAAGATCCCACAATTTTTTTCCATTTATTTATTTTGAATGTCTTTTCTAATTTAGGAACAACAGCGGTTGCTATCGGAATGCGAGAATTTACAATTGCGACTGCAGACGATCGAGAAAGAGAAATGCGACATCGCGAAATCTGCCGCACAAGTGGAAAATAAATTGCTACTTCAAGAAGAGAAGTAAGTCATCACACCACACGCAATAAATTGTACGAATATAATAGTATTAACTAAGCAATTTTTTTAGAATGCAGGAGGCACTGATGGAGCAAAACAAATGGCAAGAACAAGTAAATGACGTCGAGCGGAAATTCCATTCACAGAAAAATGAATTAGTGAGCGCACACGCTAAGGAAAAAACATTATTCATTGAAGTACATTGTTAAAAAGAAATTCTAAAAGATCCTTTTAGCTCTTTTCTTTTTTTATTAATGTTGTAAGTTTAATATCTGTTTTAGGAACAACAGCGACTAGAAACAAAATTCAAAAGTTTACAATCACAATTAAATACATTAGAACAAGATAAAATCAATATTACGGATATGATAGCGCAAAAGGATACACTTATTTCAAAATTACAGAATGAAATCTCCATGTACAAGTGAGTATTTATATTAATCAAATTTGATGAAGTTTTAAAAATAAAAATATCTTTCAGATTGTCTGCTCTATCGTTAAAATTATTAAGATTTAAGTAATTTTTTTTTATGACAGAAATGAAATCGAGGTGATAATGGCAAGATATAACCAAATGTGTGCTAAGAGCGAAGCATTACTGGAGACGCAAAATATGCTAGAGAATGAATTACGTACAAAAACGGAAAAAGTAAAATAAATTATGTACAGACTCGTTCAACAATTTTGACCAATATAATATTAGTCTTTACTAATTCAATATTATTTTCTAGATTCAGCATTTAGAGACGATGTTAAACTCATTGAAACTAAGAGAGACAGGTTTCATAAATGATGTAAACAGAATAGAAAAAAAATTAAGTAGCGAAATAGATTATTCCAAGAATCTCGAAAATAAACTTTCGAATATACAGAAAGATTTGCAACTTGCACAAAAGCAAAACGCTGAAATGCAAAAAATTCTGGAAAAAACTAAGAGTAGCAACGAATTTTCTATTAACACGCTTCAACATCAATTAAAAACTCTTCAGAAGGAAAAAGAAATTATAACACGAGAAAGCACAAAGGTTAAGGTAATAAACAAAAAATTTTAGTGTAATAAAATTTTCTTAGTTTGCGATATTTAAAAAATTTCTTAAATTTTTATTTTTTGAACTCTTTTAGAACGCAGATTGTATGAAAATATATAAATCAAGCTCACCAACAGAGTATCAGTTTTAAAAAATCATTATAGAATACAATCAGTCGAGTTAAAAAATATTATAAATTACCAAACTAAAATGATTAATATCAAGAGAGAATACACAAGCAATATATATGCTGAACGAGTTCTTGATGGAAGAACAAATAATAGCAGATTAAAAAATAATTACATGTTTATTATTGTAGGCGCGCAACAAAGAAAAAAATCAGAGCGCTACACTTTTCAAACTTATAAGTCCTTGACAAAAATGTAATTGTTCTTCAGAATCGATATTTTTTCGGCGTGCTTGATGATTCATACAAACTTTCTGTATTCTGCAAGAATTCAGGAAATAAGAATTAAAAAAATTTTTTTAAATATGAGATTAAGATTTTATTAATGTGTTGAATTTCTTTTTTGAGGTTTCTAACGCGAGTTTATTGGATAGCGATGAAGATATATCATCGTCAGAGAAACTGATTCGTACATCTTTGAAAAAAAGACAAAGTCAGGACAAGGTATAGATGTTTATTAAATATAAATATAATACAAGAAAGTCAAAAAGAAAATGTTAAAAGTAAAAAGGGATAATAATATAATGAACGTTTTTTTTGCAAATAGGAGAGTTAAGAACTATTGAAATAAGTGAAAGTGAGAGTGAACGAGTTTTTTAATATATATATAATAATCTTATTTATCCTTTTTCATTCACTTATCGGTTCAGGATATTGAAATAATTATGTTTCATTGATCTTTTCTGCTTCATACAGCAAGATGTGGTTCCATCAACAGGAAAAAAGTTTTTCAAATCGCGTCCTACTCAACCACGTACTTACACCAAACGACGAGAAGATTAAAAAGATATAAGAATTTCAATCAAATTTAATTTACAATATATTTATAGAAAATATAAAATTTCATCCAGAAATTATAAATATGAATTAGAAGCTACATTCGATGTTAATTTTTTTTTCATTTAGCTCTATTATTGTATTAAAATTATTTTATTATATATCTTCAATATATGCATAATATTTTCTCAATTCAATTTGAAATTAATTTAAAATGTATTTATACACAAATACATAAGATTTTAATCAAGAAATTATAAATATGAATCAGAAACTTTATTATAAATCAGCGCTGTTAAATTTATAATAGCAATTTAAATTTAATTTAAGTTATTTTAAATCATTTTTATAAGTTGTCATAGCTCCTATTCAATATGTCATTATAATTCAATTAAAATAATAAAATTAGACAATTTAACTCAAGAAAATTTATTAAATTTAATTTCTTAGTTTACATTTACTAATAAAAAGAATATACATTAATATGGATATTGTTTATTTTGAAACTAGTTACATAAATGGATTGATTTATATTTTCGAAAAGTTAAAAATAATAAAATGTTATTCAAATGCAAGGGATGAAGCTATCGTTACTCTTTTGGTATCTAATAATGTATCGAATAGTTGTATTTAAGATAATGTCAAGAATACGGAATCTCATCATCGCGCTCTTAGGAATAACACCTACGCACCTTCGACACGGAGCAGACGATATTGTAGCTAGTGGAAGAACGCAGAAAACTTAAATTTAAACGTGATTCATCGGTCCACCATCCAACCAATAAATGATCTCCTTTAAATCGACATACGCGAGATTCAAATTACGTAATGTAATGAAACCGCGCAAATCTTACTGTCTTTCTGGAAGATACTGTATTCGTTACTTTCCGTTTCGGATGTTACAGCGTATTTCTAAAAACATATCTTCATATTATGTATTAAATTCGTAATATCAAATTTATTATATATGTTATATTGTAACCAATTTGAGTTATTTTTAATCATTTCTGTAAATCGCTACTATTCCTCATATCATAATTAAAATTAAATCATGAAGTTAAACAAATTAACTTAAGAAGTGTATTAAATCTAACTCAAATATTTATTATTTGTTATTTATTATTACTATTATTAATATTTATTATTTACATATGTATACTAATAAGTGTATATACATTAATAAGCGTTATTTACTCTTCGAAACTAAACGATTCAATCATATAAATGGATTAATTTACAGTTTGACACACGAAAGTTAAAAATTTAAAAAAAAAACAATAAAATGTTATTTAATTCAAGAGAATGAGTTATTGCTCTTTTGGTATCTAAAACGTGTACAGTAATTTTAATTTTTCCCGATTGATTTATTATAAGATTGTCTTGCAGGAGTAAAGTTTAATATTCCTTGAATTCTCTCAAGCGTTCTCGCCTACATTAGTCCATTATATATTAGCAATGAACTTTTAACGCCTTGTCCTCGGAATGTCTATAATTTTCCGTATTTTCTCTATCTTGCGTTCGCACGACAGGAGAGTATCTGCTGCAAAATCTGGATCGCGCAATAATAACCCGAGTCATATGACAGAGAACTATTTAAAAGTAGCACGTCCCACTTTCCACGAGGGCGACCGTATTTTTTTTCCTTCTGTGTCAGGACCTCGACACGTTGCCTATACTGATGAGTTATGTGCTGGAATATGCATTGTAATCAGAAGAACAACGCGAATTGTTTTATTCGAATCAGACAATCCTAGATTTGACATTGTATATCAAATCTAGGATAGGATCCCAATAAGGATCAGGTATTCAGGTTTTTCTAATTCTAACGTCTACAATGACATGTAATATCTCCTTTCTCATTTATTCATCGTTCATTCGTTTCTCATCATTTCTTGATTCAAATTGGAATATATGCAATCTCGAATTTATATTAAAAAAATAAAAGAATTTTCAGATAATTACACTGAAAAAAAACTTTAATAAATATTTGTTTAAATCGTTCTAAATAAATATTTACTTATTATAAATATTTACTTAAATAAATATTTACTTATTTGATACAAAACCCATTAGTTTGATTCATTTATCTTTCTTTTATTAAATAAATATTTATTTAATGTAAATGTTTACGATTCAAAGAAATAAAATTTAGTAAATTTTTTTTCAGTGTGACTGCTTTATCAGGCAATTATCGTGAGATTCAATGAAAAAAATCAAAATATTCTCTTGTCGTTGCATTTTTATAGATATTATCGCAATCGACATCTGAGATCCTTAATAGTTATTTTATTACATTGGCTCGTTTTAATAAAAAGTAGCCAACAAAACAGTGACTTATTCATGCGAATCTTGTTTCGTCTATTACCGGATGTTATAATCATTACTAAGTTGCCCAATTTTCACACAGCAGCTGCGCGTCTCTGCGATTTCGGAAAACCTATTTCTCGTTTAACTGAATAAGCCGCTAATATTAGAATACCGAAACGTGTGGAATCACGCACGCTTGCGTCGCTTATACATGGTGTCACATCAATGATGTGGAACATGGGAAAAAAAGTATCTCCGATAGTATCTCGTTTATCGATTACCTAGTCAATGAAGAAGAAAATATTATATCAAGAAAGCCTTGAAGGTACATAGTCTAGTCGACATGAATATAACAACGAGGAATCTTCGACGGCGATTTTCCCTGGAAAATTTCGACGAAACATTTTTTTCATCGGAACATTTCTTAGGACACCCCGTATACAACCTTCTTACGTTGTTGGATGGATTTTTCCCCCGACTTGGCCCACGGTGGTTGCGTATTCCTCCGAAATGTATAAAAAGCCACGTTTAGAAGCCGCGGCACTTCAGTCTTTTCAAAAATATCATAAGGATGGCTCTAGAACGTCAAGTGCGCGCTAAGGTATATATTAATTTATATACACATATAATATTTCAATTGTGTGGTGTAATTCGTTTCGATCCGTTTACGGTCACGTGTATCATATAGTGATTTATTCTTCCGAGTTCTTTATTTTTTCTTAACTTTTAAACAGAAAGAAACCAATTGCTTGATAATATCTAACAAAACAAATTGTATTTTTTTCGAAAGAGATGTGTTGAAATGTTCTTGAAGTATCGCGGGATTCTATCAATCCATTGAAGATTCAAGAATTTCCATAATAATCCTTTTCTGCTAAACAACAGTTATAATTTTGACGTTCGCGTATAATTTTACACAGATTGCGGCGAAACGCAACCCCGAACAGGAGAAGGAGGCACAGGAATGGATCGAATCAATCCTTGGTAAGAAGTTTCCTCCTGGTGAGACCTTTGAAGAGGTGCTCAAGGATGGTCAGGTTTTGTGCCATTTAATGAACAAGCTTTCACCTGGATCCGTACCAAAGATCAACAGTACCGGCGGACAGTTCAAGATGATGGAAAACATTAATTTGTAAGTAGCGGCTGGTAAGATATTTATACCGATTGTACATTATATGATTATGTATATTGAATATGTTGTAGGTTTCAAAAGGCGTTAAAGGACTACGGAGTGGACGACGTCGATGTTTTCCAGACCGTAGACTTATGGGAGAAGAAAGATGTAGCCCAAGTAGTAACAACATTGTTCGCGCTCGGCCGAACAGTACGTTTTCTTATTATCATTAATTTTTATACAAATTTTGCAATAATTTTCTTTAAATAAATAATTTTGACTGATATAATTACTGATTTTTGTCAGAATAAAAAACATTTATATTTCTGTTCATTTAGACATACAAGCATCCTGAATGGAAAGGACCTTATCTAGGACCTAAGCCATCAGACGAATGCAAACGTGATTTTACAGAGGAACAATTGCGAGCTGGTCAAGGAGTGATTGGTCTTCAAGCGGGTTCCAACAAGGGTGCGACCCAGGCAGGCCAAAGCATCGGTGCCACTCGCAAAATTCTTCTTGGAAAGTAAATTAAAACTCGGCACAGCTTGCAAATCCCTTT